AACCCTCTATTAGGAACCTCTTTCCATTCCTGCAGTTCAAACTACTCTACTCTTATGCCTTCTTTCCCTTTCACCTTTTTCCAAATCCCCTGGCTATCCTTGGCCAGCATCACTGACACTTACAGCTTGACCGATGCCTCCTTTATGACGTCATGCCTTATACACTCATTTTGGAGCGCCTCTATGTACAGTTCAGCCAGCTGGGCCTGCATGACGGCGTTGTTCGTCAGTTCTTCCGGAAAATCCAGAGTGGCCAGATTCTCCGACCTAACTCCTAGCTCTCCAGTGGTTTTGTTCCTCAGGTGTACTAATTTCATGAGGCTTCTCATGACTTCAATCGCTGTTCCTTCATCAGCATATTCCCCTATGTTTAGTTGCTCCAGCTCCTTCCAAGTCAAACGTGGTGGGGGGTCCCTCAACAAGTGATCTATAAACTTCGATATTGTCCCATCTGCAGCATTAAATGCTACAGTCTATCTCTTGGATAACTCATATATGAGCTGTGCCGTTTCAATTGATGCTAGCCAATCCTTTAGTTCTTTTGGGTTCCCTCCAAAGGCTGGAGCCCTGGGTGCCCCTAACAATCCTCTTAGGCCATTCGCCAGTTATTGCCCTGTCCCATCATCCTCAGCCTCTATCATTTCAGGCCCCTCTGACCCGTGGTCACTCATGCTAACCAAATTAAATTAAATCGAGAAAAATCAGAAATTGATTTAATTAGCAAACACCATGGCTACCCTCCTTCTGTCATTTGCGTTTTCAGACATGGGTTCCGACAACAATAACACTTCATAATCACTGTAGCATGGGGTCCGCGGCTGTATTCTTCTATGCTGCGGTACACCCAGGTAGCTCTCCTGAGGTTCGCACTTCCTATTTCCAACGCACTACTCTTCCACTTTCCTGGATCACCCTCTCCTTTCGTGTGTGAAGGCAGCTCTTTGATGTTTCTCGGGTTCTATTTCCCAGGGGCGGGTAACAGGGAATCTGGTGGTTCTTTCTTTATCCCGTACCATCTTGGCGAGATGCAACAACAGAAATTTCAGTGAAAAATAAAGTGTCCTACCTGTCACTTGTTCCTGGTCGCTGTCAGTTTATCTTGTGGTCACTGCAAGCTGAGAGAGAGAGAGAGAGAGAGAGAGAGAGAGAGAGAGAGAGAGAGAGAGAGAAGAATTACGGCGTGTATTTTTAGGACTATATGGTCAAAATGACCAAAGTCTGTTGCTTCTCACTTCTTTTGCGTTTCTTTCCTTTTTATTGTCTGGTTTCATAAGTTGGTCAACCCAGGGTCAAATTTGTTGGTCAATGACATCAATTGTCACCCTCCAATCCCGATCCTGGACCACGGCAACCAATTGTTGCCCTCAAGTCCCTCCCTGTCGTTGAAAATGTCCAATACCCTCTACTGATCAATAAGGTGATCGCTTCGATCCAGGCCTTGTCTTATTCCGCGTTGTGATTAGTTTTGATCATAATGTCGACCAGGATCAAATCGTCGTCAGGTATCTTCGTATTGGGCTGGTCCAAGTGTAATGAAGACGCAAGAAAAGGAAGTAGCTTAAATAAAAGAGAAATATATATATTTATCCATTGCTTCCTACAATATCTTGTTAGTTTGTTGTCAAACTCTAGCAGTTCGCATGTGGACGATCGACCCAACCCGCTTCGTAAGTGAGACGTAACACTTTACTGACTTGGCGAAGGTTGGCACAAGGGTGATAGCAGTGGTTGTCTTTAGTAGGCAGTCATGTGGGGTGTGTCTCGTCTAGTAGTTGTAACAATCTGACTTTGTCGCTTTGAGACTTCATATTTATTGATGTTCACCCGAAACCAGTGTAGGGGCATGATGCGGTTGGGGTATTTAGTATCTTCTTTACCTGTCACAAAGAACCCTCTTTCCACTGTCAGGATTCAGAAAATTAATTACTTCCCAATTTGAGAGATTCCCTTTTTCCATGAGTGGCAGTCGCAGATATTAATTCACACATAACTTCTTCCTTCTCTTAGTAGCATCTCCCACTAACATTCCTCGGTGGGCATAGGTAGCTCCTTCACTTTCCTTGGTGTCTCATCTGCGCCTGCCACCTTAGCCACCCTTCGACCAATGTTTCTCGACTGACTGTAAAGGCTTAATCCCCATATCGTTAATCAAAAGAATTATCTTTTCAAATTTTTGCCTATGCAAAAATTTCTTTCCCATCTCAGTCCTGTGCCTGTTGTCCAGAATAGATACAAAATAGATGGCTTTTACCTTTCATGTCCCGTCACGGACATTCTCCAAGAAAATCCTTATCTCCGAATTAGGATTCTAAATCTTATCCGATTCTCGTCATTTCTGTTTTTATGATGAGCACTTTTAGCTGATGGTCATCAATCACCTGTCAGAATTTGACCATATGGCCTGGTCATAAAAAAGAAATATTGTTTTAAACTAGTCTTTTGATTTCTTGAGAAATTTCAGCTTCTAGAGAAATAAAATCTTCAATCTTTCCCATGGGAGTTTATTGGTATGTCATTCAGTCTATTCATTAACACTTCTTATTATTTGTCTGAGGTCTATCAGTATATCTGTTGTTCCATTCAGCCTCCTTATTATTTATCAGGAGTCTATTGGTATTGTTGGGATTGCTATCAGTGTGATTTTGGTATCAGAAGTTTTTTTATATTAAGATGGTTAGTTTACGGGCATGTTCACCATATTAATCCGCAACAATATAGAATATAGACATTCAAAAACGAATCAATCACAAGGCAATTGAGTAAGGAACACCGATTATGAGATTTCAATAAAACAACATGCATTTATGTACAATTAATATACAATTTAAAAACTTATAGCTTGATAATGCAAGAAATTGACCATTGATAAATTGGGTTTCTTATTGATTTATTGTTCAAGTGTTTAAGAACTGGTCAAACAGAGTAAAATGGAAAATATTATTTATACAGAAATTTGTGTAGTTTGTATGCGAGAATAAAGTAGGAGTTTAATTCTTTAAATTTTCCAGAGTTGTTACCTTGGATTTTTCTGTGTTTGTCTTTGTTTAAAATACAATTTCTATTTTAGTAGTGTGTAAGAACACTTTTCTTAGAAAGTTGTAAGTGAGATGTGAGAGATTATGTTGATGTCTGAGTCAGCAGTTGACGTGCGAAAAGTATCTTAAGTCAAAGTAGTGACACGCGTGGATTTGTGTGGCATCTCTCTGAAGTTTATTGACTGACGATATTCAGTCACCCCCTCCCCCCACTGGGGCATCATGTGGCACAAGACCGATTATTTAATGTGGGATCTCCGAGCCCGTGGGCTCGGCTTAAAAATATGCCCATTGAACCGGTATAAACGGGTTCAGGGTCGGTTTACCTCCCCGAAAGAGAATCCGCCCTTCGGCGTAGACTCCTTCGGGTTCCTCCCCGCCCGAAGGCAGAGAGTTCAACCGAACAGCCGGTCAGGAGGTCAACGACTGACTCAAGTTTATTCACTGACTGGTGAATTGGGTCGAGATGGTCCTTTTTATTTGTTTCTGGAAACTAAAATAGGCTCCAGCGAACTGGGCGCGAAAAGAGTTTTTCGACAGTTGTTACATGTCTCGACTAATAGAAAGTCGAGATTTGCAATGCGGGGTGTTGGTTGGTTAAAACTGATTCTGATGGAAGAGTGTATTTTATCTCGGAGGTGAGTATGAAATATGGGCGATTCTATAGTATATTCGTCATTCTATTCATTCAGCCTCCTTATTATTTGCAATGCTAAATAGTGTCACATCAGTTTATCTAGAAAGAAACAATGCTGTTATTAATAAGATGAGTTGAATACATGCAAGATTTCACCGCGGTTGATCCGCCCTGGAAGCTATATCACTACTCTGACTTGGCCCTGTTTAGGTAATCGCTCTTACCAACCCGACAAAAATTCAAATCTTATCAATCAACCAGCTACTGCCGTCGACAACTCTCCAATTCGACAGTCGACCAGCTACCGCCGCCGACAACTCTACACTCGGTTCCGCCGATCCAACCGATCAACTCCTCCTGACCGGAACAAGTCATACCGGACCCGATACCAGCATATTTCTCCAAACAGTACTATCTTGTACATATAGGAAAAATAAAAAATCGATGTTTGTTATTTTTAAACCTTTGCCTTTGTACCCTCATTGTCTTCACACCTTTCTTATAAAATCTTGCGGGGGCGACATCCTTATCGGTCTCGCAACATGTTCACACGACCCTTACGCTTTGCATTCCCTGCTGTAAAAAATCGATATAACTACGGAAGAATATAATTGTAATTTAATTATGCTATAAAGTGCTCATTTAAATTTTTTACATTCCATGGAGTTAGGAGATCTCAGAAATGTTAATTTCAATGAAAAATAGCAAAATCATTTCAATTTACCGCTAGTAATATTAAGCAAGTTAAATTGAAAACTAAATATATTTCAAGTTCGTTTTCTTTGTTGGGAAACAATTTGTTCAGACTATAAAAAAATAATTGCCTGATCTAAATTTAAAATACATTTCTTTTTTTTATTATTCTTTTTAGATTTGTTTAGTTGCATGTTTGGGCATATTATTGAATATATAAGCAGTATTTTAAAACAAAGATTAAAATTTCAGAATATTTTTAAAAAAACATCGTCTGAAAAACAATTAAAGAAAAAAATCATATAAAAAGAATTCATCAGTGACACAAAAGCTCTAATGCTCGAGCCTTTTTAAATTTACCTTAAATTAATTACTCTTCATTTTACTAATAAATTTATTTAGTTCTTTATTTCGCTTTTTAAAAAATATTTATCTCCCCCACCCCGCCAACACCTTGTGCCATTTTTTATTAGTAACGGTGTTTAGAGTTGCCTCCCTTTCTTTAAAGTTCGTAAATGAAATTTTTTTCGGTTTGTGCTGCTGTCATAAGAAGACAGTCGTCATCAGTAAAACAAATACAACCATCTTTCACTTTATCTGGGCCTTATCGGATTTCTAAGACTCTTTTTAGAAAAATGTCTGCTCTAACAGTGGAAGAGGAACAAACTGCTTTGCAAGAGCCTGATCCTTGCACAAACGTGAGTTTATTGACTTTGAAATTGAAATGAAAAACCATGTTTTTTTCCATTTTTAACTAACAGTTGTCAATAAGTCTAACTAGTTAAGATCAGTGATTCTCAACCGGTGTGACCGGGAGGACTAATTTAACAGAAGTGTAATTTACGAATTATTTAAAAAAAAAAAAGAAGAAATCTTTATTTTTTTAAAAGTTAGAGACACCAAGTACATGGCTTCCATGTTTCAAGTCTTTGTCACTTGGTATTTTTAAAGCAAACTAGAGATGCTAAAACTAAATTCTTTAAAGGGTGGATAATCATTTCTGCTGAGTCATTCTCTTTCTCTTAAAAAAGAAAGCCAAAAAACTGTACCTTATTCTTTGGGAATTAAACTTTAAAAACTAAAATTTCATATCTAAATTAAGTGCACCCCTAGAGTTGTATTGTTATTTAACAAGTGCGCCTCGAAGTGTTAAGAAAAAAGAAAAAGTTTGAGAAACACTATTTTAGATTTTTTTTTTTTTTGAGGTAATAAATAATTAACCAAAAATATTATGGTTTTGGTAGATTTGCATTAAAAAGAAGATTATATAATAATTTAAATGCTCTATGTACGAATTTCTTTTTAATAGCAAGACGATACCTGTCTTATTTTTTCCTCAAGAAGAGTAAAAAGACCTTAATAAAAAAGTCTGTTAAAACAAACAAAAAACAAAAATTAACAAACATTATTTGATAGTTTTTAGAAAAAAAAAAAATAATGATTATTAATAGTACCAATTTAATTTTCTCAAAAGTTCTAAATAAATGCAATTACTAAAAAAACGTCAAGTCCCGTCTTCAAATGGATGAAATTGAAAGGCCATAGTCTCAAATTACTTAAATGGATGAAAATTTAAAGTCTCAAATTACAGATAAAAGAACAATTGTTAGGCACTCGGTCAGTTACGACAAATAAATTCGAAAGAACTTGATAAATTTCTCTCACCAACATATTCTCTTTCGGGATTCAATAGTAATTGCGACCTTTTTAAACTTAACATCAATGGTGGATTAGTTAAATTAACATTTTTATTTATTTTTTACTATTTCTATTGTTATTCCTAAAAATAAAAAGTATCTGCTATATACACCGATAAGCTAAGCACAAAAAAGTTACTGTACTGTTCATTTTTTATATTATTTAACTTTAGTTTCGATTTATTTTTTGTGATGATCAGAATTTTTAGTACTTTGTTAAAAAAAGGTTTTTCACATCTGTGATAGTTTGGGACGTTAAACTTCAATATGCTGCAATAGATTCTTTGTTTGTGTTCGGCATATTTTTCAAAACGGTAATTCTTCGTTTTGTCGTCGATCCATAATTATTCATTTGCTAAGTTTACTAATTTTTTTTTTTTTTTAAGAAAAAAAAAAAAACAAACTTTATTTTAGTAAGTAAAAAAAAAATATATATATATATATATATATACGTGAAAATGTGTGACTGACTGGAAATTCTTTAAAAAAAAAAAAAAAAAAATGTCCATCCTTCCTGTCCACCTTTTGGATTTCAAAAGTCATGCATTATAAAACAACATAAAAAAAATACAATTAATGCATTTTTCTGGAGAAAAATACGTATAATTAAATAAAAAGAAAACAATGACACAAAAAATAAACCGAAACAGACGTAAAACAATTAACAAATTCAAATTCAGAAAATGCTGCTCTTTACAAGTTTGCCCTGACATCATGGTAAATTACACTAGCAAATTTTTCCTTTTTATTTTATGGATGTGCATAAATGCTATAACTTTATTGTGAATAGCCACAAAACAAAAAAAAATTTGAATACTGTACTGTACACTCTCTTTTTTTAAAATGTTTTTGTCACTAATTAAATTATAACAGCATTAAAAATAAATGTTCATTGAATTAGCTAGGGCAACAAAAGATGGCAGCTGTGTTGTCCTAGCCAATGTCGAGGAAAGGAGGCAACATTTTCATCAAAGTTACAACCTTGCTCTAGCAACATTTGTCTGAATGATATCCTAATTTCGCAGACGGGATTAAGGCTTTTAAATGGATGCAGTTGTGATGGAGAGAGGTTGCTACTTAGGATGGACAAGGTTGAAGCACTTTCAAAATTTTGAAAAGCAATAAATACAACAGAGGGAGGATTTTTCTTATACAAAGAACAACCTTGGCTCAATAGAGGATAAAAATAGTCTTGTGTACAGGGCTCAAAAAAATCATTTATCTGATTAGCTGTAGTGTATGAGATAGTACCACATAGTTAAGTGAAATCAAGTAGTTGGCTTGCCTGGGGAAAGAGATTTGCTCTGGTGGAGACAAGTCCTGGGTTATCAGTTTTACAGTGCAAAAGGGGAAAGAGTTCTTTTGTTTTATATCACTGATTGCTATGCCACCTAGTGACATTAAGCGAATTTCATTGGCAGCCAAGTGTTGCATTTTATGTCCCCATGCTAATACATGAAATGGTATCAATGAAAAGGACCTTTTGTTTTTGTTATCTGTTTTATTAGGAGAAAGTGGTGGTAGCTTCAATTCTAAGAAGCAGAAGGAGGAATGACTTCAAAGGAACACATGTCTCTGTGGGTGGTCTTAGCCAGTTACTAATCTTGGTGCAGGAGGTGTATTAATGTTTCAGAACTCTTGAGACCCTCTGTTGAATTTGCACACTTTGGGGCTGATATTCAAAACCCAGACAAAGACATTTCATCACTGTAAAAATACCCTGCCCATGAGGCACACTGATCAATCGCTGACCACTCTGGTTCTGGCCTTTGCATTCTGTAACAATATTGTGTGATCTTACACAATAAATTATTTTTTATATTTTTCTATACAAGATGCAAGGAGTAAATTGTTGCCATTTTACATTTTTAATTTCATGCATACACATTGTTTTTGATTTTGTTTTCTGCACTATATATTAGGGTCAGTTGGGCACCATCTGTGAAAAACTGCACCATGACACAATTCACTCTGCCAGAAATTTGGAAACAGCATGCTGTACTGCTTGGCATTTGTGCTGGAAGCTCCAGTACGGACATTTCAGAGGTGTTTGGGTGTCAATCTGAGGACCGTGCAGAGGATTTGGAAATGGATGAGTCTAATGTTGATTATGATGGTGTTTGTGGTGATCACTAGTGATGACAACATTATGCCTCCATTCATCTTCCCACAGGGCCTCCATCTCAACACAGAGGCTTATTACATCAAGTGCCTTGAGGAAATAGTGCAACACTGGGTCAAGAGGGTGGCTGCTGGAAGACCCTATGTCTGGTAAGAGGACTCCGCACCATGTCACACAAGCAGGAGAACCTAGTCATGGCTGGCAGACAATTTCTGTGATCACATCACCCTTTACATTTGAACACCTAACTCCCCAGACTGCAACCCCCTTGATTATTATGTGTGTTGTTAATTGGGATCAGAATTTGGGATAAACTGCCCATGTTTATTCTGTCTTCATTATTATCAAGAATTGGGTGTTGTCAGTGTGGTAGTAAAGAATGAAAAAGAATAAAAAATGAACTTTGAACAGTTTATTCACAATTTTGATTCGGATGTACATTATATTAAAAAATTGGTAAAATATAATTAAAAAAAAATTAAACAGACAGACCAGGTTAGTAGAATTTAACAAAACTTGTTTCAAAGTATATGCAAAATTCTATAAATTTTAGAAACATTTTTTTATTTTAGCTTTAAAAAGCATATATTTTGAAAATGAGCATAAAAAAATGATTTGCTTAAAATCAAGCTCATTTAAAACAAATAATTGTTTTCATCCTTTTTCTTTCACCTCTGCAACCGTTTACTCCACCCTTTCTTTCTTTAATTATGTTTAAAGATTATTTTTCATTAATTCATTTATTACTGAAATACTTTCTTCTTTTTTTTTTTTTTTTTTTTTTTTTTATTGTAATGCAGGATTTTTTCTTTCAACAAACAATGTACAGAATAAAAGACCCAAAAGCCAGTTTAAATTTCTACTCCAAAGTTCTGGGAATGAGGTAAGTGATAACTCTCAATTTGTAACTTATGTTTGTGTCTTTAATAAACAAAAGCTTAAAGAATTGAAAGCTGGATTTAAAATCAAATCTTACAGACTTTTTCATGTTGTTTCTTGGATCATCTGTAACTATATACAGGACTTGGAATTAAATTAATCCTGGGAACATTAGAGCATTAGTCTCGGATGATTGGTAAGGCATTTTTGGGTGTATACCATTACAATGCAAAATTTTAAGTTAAAATTTTATAACATTTATTCTAAAAGCCAACTAATTTCTTGAAATAAAAGAGATAAAAAGAATTTACTTCTCCACCAATATTGGTGGACCTGGATTTGTTATATTAAATGACCGAACATCCAAATTCCAAAAAGTAATAAAATAAAAAAAAAACATGGGTATACTTATCAAATAAACCATTTGTATTTACAAACATTTGTGCATTAATTCAAAAAGGAGTAAAAATAGTCTTTAATTGAGATATTCTTTGCATAATTGGTTACCAGAAAAAAAGCTGTGATTCCAAAAAAAGTCTTTTAACATTAATGAAGGTTCACTAGCCCTCTTTGTTGTTGGAGATGATTCGTTTAACGTTACCAACACATGAATTGTCAGCAAAGATTCATTGACTTTCCAAGCTGTTGTAGCCGATTCGTTTGAAGTTGCCAATACATACTTCTTTCACCCTGCCCTGGGGAAGAAGGTTGCATCTCTACTCAGTGAAAGTTGAAATCTGTGGTTTTATATAAGAAATTTTACCCAATAGTAGACTAGAGAAAAATAGGGTTTTAGTTTTCTCTGATTGGTCAAATACTTCACATAGATGTTAATTTCAAACCAATAGACAGTGTGTGTTGTATGGTGGAATCTTTTTGGCATTTTGTAATATTGCATGTTATTGGGTAGAAAATAAATTTTGGGCATGTTTTAATATGGTATGTATGTAGGTATGTAATTGTGTTAGAAATAGGGTTTATTTCTTACACACACACACACACACACACAAGACTTAAGGATTCCTTTATAAACTGGTAAATAAACCCAAACAAAAATTGAGGGACTTAAATTTATATATTTGTATTATTTATCTCTAAATGTGAAAAGCATTATGATCTAATTATAAAAATTTTATTTTAACATTTACCAGTAGCTCATTTATAAATATTTCTTCCCCTTTTACTGCATATGGAATCTGTAGTGTTTTATATATTGGTTCTATATATTTGAAATTGCAGTAGGCTGGCTATCAATTTCAATCAAGATTGTTTTAGGCTGCACAACCAAGAAATTCAAATTTAACTTGCATTGACAGAACTAACATTTTTCTTGGCAAAAATAGTCTCTTACAGATTGCTTTAATAAATAAAGCAAGATTTTTCTGTCAATTGTTCTCTTTAAAAAACTTGAATAAATCATTCGTAAACTTGAATAAATCATTTGTGTTATTTTTTTGCTTATCATAAACTAAACTGAAAATACAAGGGAGAGTTTTGAAAATGATGAACACTGAAAATTTAGTCACAACATGAGGCAGGTAAATTGTAAATGAAAGTTCTTTTGATCAGATCTTTGAAATTAATGTATAGTTGAAATGCGCTAATAATCTTTATATAGAAAATGAATGTAGGAAGAATGAAAATTAATAAAACCTTTACTATATAAAATGTTTGAATAAAAAAAAAATGTGATTTTTTTATAAAAATTACAGTAAAATTTAACTAATATAATTTCTAAAACTTTAATATTGTTATACTTCATGTCTCTTGGTTAAAAAAAAGAAAAGACCTCTAGGGGGTTTGTCTTTGACTATATGATGCGGGAACATTTCAATTGACAAGTTAAACCACTATTTATTTCTTAACATCTAGAATTGGAATTACTTTGCCAAATTGATTATTAAAGATGTGAGCATGACAGTATGGCATTAGTTCTCTTTTCACAACGTAAATCCTGTAACCCACTAAAATCACTGACCAAGCATAGCAGAAGTTGTATTCATTTGGACGTGCAAATCCATTGAAGGACTTCTAGTGTGAATTTGGATTCACAAGCGGCCTCCAGCCACATGTATACATACTTTTAGGAATCCAGTTTGAAATCAGTTTCCTTCTCCTAGGTTGGTTGCTACCCAAGGCTGTAGGACCCAGTTGGACATGCTATTTTACCCACAGCTGGCAGGTAGCACAAAAATGGATGTAATGAGCTCAACTGTAATTCAAACTCGGCTCTCAAGATTCCTCAATCCGAGTTGCTAACTATTACTCCATTGTATGTCCACTGTATCAGGTGTTAGAGCATATGTAAATATAAATTGTATTAGCCTACAATAATAATTCCCAAAACTATAAACTTTGAAGAAAATAGCTATAATCACCTTTCGAGACCAACACAAATTACTAAATAAACAATCACAATTTATCTTGTGATATTGACATGAAAAAATTTTTTTACTATGTTACTTAAAAATTGGAAAGTAAAAACAAATCCCTTTTTCACCTAAAAAAATGCAAATATATACACTATATACAAGTCTGATAATGTAACCTACTTTAGTCACGTAAATAATTTAAACAAAAAATATACGATAACCAAGACCTCCAAAAGAAGAAGAAGAAAAAATAAATTAAAATATTAAGCAAACAAATAATAAACAAATTAACAAACTATGAATGCACACATAACAACTTTGGTAAATTTAATTATAATAAACAGTAAATCGTTAATGAATAAATACAACATACACTAAATAAGTAATAAATAATAAGTTAAAAGTTAACAAAGAACACTATACATATAACTTAGGTACCTCTACTATTGCTAAAAAAAGAGCATAGCATGATGAAAAAGATGCCAAACTTGACGAAAACAAAATTTTATCATCTAAATGTTTGTTATTATTAAGAGGAAAGGTCAAAGTATTTTTGGGGTATTTTTTTCCATTTTTTAATTGTTCCTAGCACGTCCGAAATTTTCGTTAAAAATCTAGTTTTTTTTGAGTCAGCAAAATTGACCATTTTTTTCCATTTAAAAAAAAACTGGAAATCTGACTTTGAAATTTTTTTAAATATCAATTATCATTTTTTCAAAACTTATTTTAAGAAAATCAGAAATTATAATGTTTATTTAAAATATTTTGAACCAAACTTAACTTAGCTTTTGTACCAAAAAGATGTAATTTGAAAATAAAACAAAGCAGGTCATAAACTTTCGCGTCTCTTAACATGTGATGAATGATATATTTACGAATTCCATGAGGCTAATTTGTTCTACGGAAGGAGAAAAGTGAAATAATTTACATTTACGTGAACAAATTATTTACCCGTTATTTTTAACGAAAACTTTCAGCGGTCTAATTTTTTTTTTTTTTTTTTTGTACTTAGCTTTCACCTTTACGTTTATGATGCTTTATGGGAAATATATTCTAAAGAAATTAAAATAAAACTGTTAAAAGTGACATTAAATTTCATATTTCTTAAGAAAGGTATCTAATTAATTTATAGGTACCTTTCTTATGAAATTTTATCAGAATTGTACATAAAATACTATAATTTTATGTACATTTATTACATTCTACTGTTATTTGTATTTGCATTCATTTTATTATTAATTTTGATATTTCATTTATGGAAAAATGTCGTAACTGAGATTAATATAAAAAATAAGATCATATAAATTTCATAAGATGATACTGATACTTGTAGGTACCCTTCTCAGTTGAAATTGAAAAATCAAATTAACTTCTCCACACGTGTTTCAAGAAAAGTAAAGGCCTTAACAGCGGAGAACAATGCTTAACTCAAATAACGCAACTTAATTATATTCTGGTTGGTCTTCCGTATTTTATAATTACAGCTCGATTATAAGCACAAAATTACATTTCTTAATTACTGGGGATCTTCTGATTAGTCAAAATGATACAATTTACAACGCTAAAAAAAATTTTTATCTCATAAGGACACTTATGAAAAGCCGATGCGGACTTTTAACTAATTTTATAATATTTTAACAACTTAAATGTAAAATCTATTATAATTAATGAAATAACAAATAATTGTATTAAAAATTCATTGTTCATCGAAAAAAATTTTTTTTTTCAGAAAATATTGTCCATATTCATAAAACAACTAAAAAGCAAATAAAAGCATTTGAAATTAAATAATATCTTTGTTTTATTGAGTTTTGTATGTTACAATTCAGAGCTGATTTTCAGGTACTGCGTCCATCAAATAAAAAAAAAAAAATATGATTTGCATTCCTCAAAGCCCTGTGCTTTTAATTATTGTAATCACTAAAACCGATGCGATCGAATTTCTAGCGTTTTCATAAAATTAGTTAGGGGTAATAAATATTTTAAAAAATATTTCTACCATGACTTTCATAAAAAAACATATTTATAATAATTTTGATCATCTGTGAATAGTTCCTGAAAGTTTCATTAACATCCGATAATTATTTCTATTTTTTGCACGATTTTTCAAATTAATGTGTGTCATACCAAAAAAAAAAAAAAAATTGTCTATATTATTTACTAGTTCCGCTGATACAAATAGAAAAAAGGGTTTTTTAATCAAAATTTAGAATGTTCTAAAAAGAAGGAAAATTTTTTAAAAATAATTAAAAAAAAACTTTGGTCTTTCCTCTTAATAATAACATAAGCATTTAGACAATAAAATTTTGTTTTCAGCAAGGTTGGCGTCTTTTTCATCAAGCTATGCTCTTTTATTAGCGATTTCGTGAAGGTACCTAATATAACTGCATTCTGACCAACAATTATTTCTACTCAATTGCCTCTAGAATAATTAGAAGAATAACTGTCACAGCCCACCCTTTTAACCATTAGGATAATACAATAAACTAGAAATTACTGACCTTGCTACCCATAATGCCTCAGTGACCAACATATATAGTTGAGCCACTACACATGGCCTGAAAATTGTGTTCAAGCATGAAATACTGTTGCCACTTGGTGTTGACCTCACTGTCCACACACACACACATATATATATATAAGTTCTTCATTTTGAGTATATCCATTAAATGTGATGCATAAGAAGATGTCTAAAGACGTTCTTTTTGCCTTCTTTACACTGACACATTTTATTTGTCCTGGTGGATTTTTTTTTTTTATTATCAAGGCAAATGTAAGGATTTTATTTTGCAACAAGTGTTTATAAACAGAAGTAAAAATGCTATTAAAACTTTAAGATTTAAGGACACTCATAAGTATTCTTCAGGCTAACTGAAAGTTAAGGTAAACTATGGAGAATGTAATAGAGGATGTAAAGTGATGTAATTTAATGCCTAATAAAGGACAATATTGAATATTTTTTATATTGTTATTTATTTTAATTTGATAAACTATGTATTTGAAATAATTAAACTTTGAACTTAACCCTTTTCCATTTAAAAAAAAAATTTATGTATGCTTGCTTGAGAAAGGAGATATTTGAAAATATCTGGGGCACAAATTTACATTTTGTTACAATTCAATAGCAACACTCTGAAGAATTGTTTGTCTAAGTAAGTTACTTTCTCTACTAATAAGTGTGACATTCTATAGAGTGAAGTTGTGGTTGAACTTATTTCTATGCATTTGATAAGTTGTTGTGTATGAGATCCTTTTTGTGTTTATACATTTGCCTTGATAAAGTCCATCAGGATAAAACACATCAGTAAAGGAAAGGTTCCTGTTGTCTTTATACAGTCTTTTTACAGATATATTCTTATTTATAGCTGAATTTTACACACGTTATTATAGTGGATATTATTTTATAGTAATAAAAGTAATGCCCATCGCTTAATATATAAAAATGAGGCATCTACTTCGAATATGAATTATTTACTGTAATAACATTTGAACTAATAAAAATGTCAGATTAGAAATAAAACCATATTGAGATATATAATCAAATTTTCTAAAAAAGTAAAGAATTTTTTTTTTTTTTTATTTATCTGACAGATTTGTTATCACTTTAAACGTTATTTTTAGTGGATATGAATCCTGCCAGGGAGCATAAATTTTTCTTTAATAAGATTTCTCAAACATTCAGGCCAGTATATGAAAGTAAATAACTGTCTGTATTTCTGAGGTATTATACCTATTTACATTGTTCAAATTGGACCATGTGTTCTTACCATCCTGGGTAAGATGATAAACTACATCCAGCAGCAAGGTCTCTGATCAGGAGGCTTTGAGGAGTGTGGAACCACCTCTTAATTGCTGGTGTTCTCAGGTCCATGCTGACCTGGGGTGGTAGTACCTGTTAGGGTCCCAGCTATGGGCAAATAGTTAACTCTTACCAGCAATACTTTTTGAAAAAAATTATTACCAGCAATACAATTTTGAAGAAAAAATATTACCTGCAATAAAAAATGTTGTCGGCATTAAATAACCCATTGAGGTTGATATGCAATAAAACAAAACTAAACCAAACCATGTGTTCTTGGGGACAGTGGATGAAAGCATTGGTTGAGGTCATCCAGTGACTTGACCTAAAGAGTTGTGAGTTCAATACCTGCACATAGCAGAGGTGAACAAAACCTTAAAGAATTGAGTTACCAAGGGAAATAACAAACTGTGATATCCGGAAGAGGCATGGCATGTGGAGCTAGAACAATCTACCCCAGTGGACAAAACAAAGGCTTCGGTTCAAAATTTCAATCACCTGAAGAAGGCCAGGGCATACAATGGCCAAAAAGTTGTGAATATGATAACAAAGATGAGGACAACAATATAAATCGTGAAAATTAATGAATATACTGTTTAATAAATAAGTAGAGCGCCACTCAGATATGAGTATCTACTAAAAATAATGTTTTAAAGTGATAAAAAATACATGTAGAAATATAAATAAAAGGTATGTCTTTTTTTTTTTTTTATCTTGCAGGCTGCTTCATAGAATGGACTGCCCTCCTCTTAAGTTCTCCTTATATTTTATGGGCTATGCAAAAAAGGAAGAAATCCCGACTGATGAAAAAGAAAGAGCAAAATGGTGTATGGGAGGAAGGTCATCCATTGAACTGACTCAGTAAGCCAAATAAGATTATTGGATATTTATCCATTTTGGATTGTTGTCTTTTTTTCTTTAACAATTTTGACCCACTGATGCTCACCTTTCTTGTGTCTACTGCATTTGAATGTTTAATGTTGATCAGGTAAATGTCTGTTTCTCTTTACTCCCACCTGTTAATGAATATAACAATATAAAACATTACCCCCCCTCCACCTTTTTTTTTTTTTTTTTTTTTTTTTTTGTTACCTATGTAATTAGTTGTCATTCCTTTATGTTAATTGGGGAGTGCATTCTTTTCCCAATTTCGTAAATGTAATTGGGTTGATGCAATCTGGGTGTGAATTCCTAGTGCCCAAGCAGTTCTCATTTTGTGAATTTTATTGCCAGAAAATTTACATCTTTATATATCTTAAAACAACTAGCTCCATGTAGCCATGTTCAGAGTAGGAAATTCAAGTGTACTTAGCAAAATGACAAAAAAAAAAAAAAACTTTAGAAAATAGATGTCTTACTTAAAATGTATTTTATTCAGAAATTTCAGAGTACAAATTGCAAATCAGATATCAAAATCAAACACTTGCAGAAATTTAGATATCTGGGAAGTGGTTTAACAAAAGACAGAAAGTGTGACACTAAAATCCGGCTTTCTTCAGAGGTCTGTTGTTTCGGATAACCGTCAGAGCCTTGATCTCTTTATTTAATCTATTTGTTCTTGTTTCACTGTTCATGTTTTTGTTTAATACTGCTCAGTTATTATTCACTCTGTTTCTACTGAGCCTGAAAGATTGAACTAAAATTAGTATGCCACCAAATTCAAAAACTGATGCTTTACTCCATTCAGCTATTGTCCTGAATTGAAGCCTTAAACCTAATGTTCTTATGGCCTGCCTGCTGTTGTCCTTACAACTATAGGTGCTAACATCTTTTGCATTGTTTCTCTTTCTCTTTGTTATTGGCCTCCATATTGTAATGTATGTACTTCTATGCTAGATATACTCTTTATGCCATGAAGTAGATGACATGAAACTGTTTATTGTAGAATTTCTAAATAATCATACACCTCTCTGTTTTCTACAGTCCTAATTATTTCTGATGACAAATAGGAGAAATTAAAAAAAAAACTTAATGTGAATTTTAAAGTATGTAAAGATGGTTTCTGTCAAATAAATATAACCAGAGTTGCTTCCCTTTGATCTCTTGGTAAAAGAATGCCTGCTTGCTTCAAATGCTTGGATGATCATGTCTCTCCAACTTAAACTATGAACACAGCTGAAGTAGGCTGCAATTCACTCTGTCCTTGTTACTTTCTTAAATATGATGCATGTTGCTGTCCTTTCATTCGCTTCCTTTCAATGCGATCTTGTAATGCCACACACTCTCGCCTTTTCAGATGATATTTTAGCTGTCCGCTACCACTTTTTCACAAATGTCGATTTTCGTGCAAAGAGCGGATCACATCTTCATGAATGTTTTTGAAAACCTAAACTTCTCATTGGATAATAAATATTAAATTTATCTTTACGTGTATTGTTCTCAATAAGCGAGACAAAACATATCAGGCTCCAGACTGAGTTTTGTAAGGCGCTTTCTGAGTGGTTAACAGGTGTTAAAAAAACAATTTACCTGCTCACCACTACGTCCGAACAACGTCAACCTAGTTTTTGACCTGACGAAAAAACAATGCCTTCGGAGCCTGTCACGTGGTTGAAGGAACATATAAGTTGAAGGTACGAGCGGACCCTGTCAGTGAGAATTTACGACGACCAAATTCGCTAATCGACTTCACGACGCTTGAATCATTACTGCAGCGAAGTACCAAGTTGGAACCTAACGTTCTTTAACATGAAATAACTTCACTGAAAATCAAGCTACAATTTCAACCAAACATCTCACTCATCAACTTGTAAAATTTACATTCTTATTCAATTACGTTCAGACGAACTTTAATTACAAACAATTACGAACAATACATTTAAAACTACGAGCAACGGAAACAAACGGAACATTCACTTCTCCAACTTCTTTAAAGCTAAAAGTTTATTAACATATTTTCAGCTTTATAAGATTTTCTTTCAGTGAACATTTTGAACTACAAGTTAATTCAGTTTTTGTGAGCTCGGACAAAAAATGGTCTTTTATTAGTAAAAACATTAGCCCAGTCAAAGGGAAGTAACTCTTATTATTGTTATTGTAAAACTGTTGTTTTTTTTATAAATATAAATATTGTTCCTGATTAAGAAAAGTTATTTTCTTGTATTTCTTCTCTTGTTTGCTTTTTATTTTCTTGCACATTCGTAAAGTAAAAAATGTGTGGGTTGATTTATTCCGTCAATACCACTACAATATGATTGAGAAATCAAAGCTGTCTTTTTTAGTGACCAACAGTAGAGACCCGCTTCTCACTTATTAGCTCAAGCCACTTCCCAAAATCACTATTGTGATGTTTGGTCTTGGAATGTTGGTCAGTCCGAGAGCTTTTCAGCACATTCTCGTATATAATGGAATTAAACAGATCTATCACCTAAAGTAATGAAACTTTATTCTTTTACAATATTGTGCGTGGAAATGTGTGTGTAAAATCTGTAAAAAGACAATATGAATAAAAGGAAAATTTATCTTAGCCAACACTTTTTGTCCTCTTATTTGCCTTGATAAATTCCATCAGAGGACAAAGCACATCAGCAAAGATAAGTTTTCCTTTTGTCTTTATTCACACACACACACACACACACACACACATATATATATATATATATATATATATATATATATATATATATATAAAATTAATTGATTTAAAATGTTTTTTTGTTTTTTTTTTCTACAGTTTTAACCATGTTTCAAAAATGGAAGCTAAATGCCACGAATTTAATTTTGCAATTAAATTAAAGACATTAGTTCCATTTCATCCTCAAGCAATTTTGGAGTAAAAGTTTTTGAAACATGGTTAGAACTGTGTAGCGAAAAAAACCATATTTTAAATCAATTAATTCATAATATTAATGCTCTGTAAATTTACATTGAGCACTATTTTGTAAAAATAAAATATCTATAAGAACACCGGATTATATATCTAACTGTTCTTTCTTTTATTTATTTATATATATATATATATATATATATATATATATATATATATATATATATATATATAATTACTAAAATGAGCATACATGATGAAAAAAATGCCCCAAACTTAATAAAAACAAAATGTTATCAAAATCTTTGTTGTTAAGAGAAGAGATCAAAGAATTTTTTAATTATTAAATTATAATATTTAATCCTTTTTAGAACCTACGAAGTTTTGATTAAAATTTATTTTTTGCATCAGCATATCACCATCAATTACTATAGGAAATTTTAGCTTTATTTTGTGGTGAAAAACATTGATTTTCAAAAACACAAATATGTGTTGTATTTTAATCAATCTTTCAGGACTTACTCAATCACTGAATTAAGTTATTTAAGAAATATTTATAATAATTTTTTTTTCTAACATGTTACCATCTGCTCATTTAATTTTATGAAATTTCAAGAAATTTATTTTTGTAGGGCTTAATGTTTATAAATTATAAGCAAAGGTCTTTGGGGAATTTAAATTGAGTTTTTTTATTTTATTTATTTTTTTATTTTTTTTGTTAAACAGGAGTTAGTGAAAATCTGCTCCAAACCATAAAATAAAAAATGCAGTAAAACTAAGACAATATTTAATTAGAAAAGGTTTTAATTACTTTTAAAATATATATTATGGACACTATTGTCTTCAGAAAAAAGAATTTTTTTTGATGAATAAGGAGTTTTTCAAGAATTGTTTACATTTTTTTTTTAATTAGAATAATTTATAAAGTTTTAAATCTTTTTAAAATTCTGCATTAATTTATAGCAGTTAGGTTATAATAATTAAGTAAAAACTATGTTTACTAATCATAAATGAAAAAGTTTACTACAATTCAGAGCCCCCACCCTTTCCTGCTCTCCAGTATTTTAAAAAGAACTATGAATTTTTTGTGTGTATATAAATATACCAATATTTGTAAATACAGACGTCCATAAAACACATTATTAAAAAATAAGAGTGAATTTTAATACAGTAAATTTAAAGCCAAATTATCTAAAATTCAATAAAATATTAGATTACTTAGAATATTTTCCTAAATTTTAAAGATTACTGGATAGTTAAAAATTTAAATAAAAATGATTGCTCAAATTATATTAAAATAATCTTTACAGATGTGTCCTCTGTAGAACAAGTTTCCAAACCTAAGTCTGTTGAGGTAGTGTCAAGACCACATAAAAAACACCCACCTCTGTATTAAAAAATGCTTTTTTATAATATTTTGTTTCAAATCATATTAATTAAACTTTAAATCAGCTATTCTTCCTTAAAGTTTCAGAAAAGTATATTTTATTTGTGAAAGATTTTTTTTTTAATAAAGGGAATTACATTGTGCTAAGTGAATTGTGATTTTTAGCAATTTCTAAAAAACAAACTATTTCCACTCAAATTCATTTTAAAATATAGCAAAGTATTTTGCTTACTGGAAATGTAAATTTTAATCTATTACCTTGAAATTAAAACTAAAATAAAAACTTCAAGAAACATTTTTTTTTATTTTTAGGATTCATTTTAAGCCTTTAGTATCACTTTTTCTCCTCTCCTCTTTGAAGTATGAGGTTACAGCAGCCCAATTCTTAGATTTGAAAACCCAGTCAGCTCACATGTCACATCTGACATGTGCAGCATTTCTCTCAAAGGTCCACAATCCAATCCTTTTTTAAATGGCTCTAATTTAATGAAAGGTAGCCTATGTGGATCATTGTTGCAGGGTGTCTTCTTGTACTAGACTCTTTTACTCTATTGCTCCCCCCCAAATCACAATATGCATCGCTGTCTGAAACTCAGACATGGTCAATGCACTTTAACAAGATGGCTGATTTTGAAATTTTTATCCGAATATTTCTTACTAGTACCTACATATTATAGCCAGGTGAAAATTAGCATTATTTTTTAAGGTATTGTAATTTTATTTTCTGTGAGTCTATTTTGTGTGTGTGTCTGTCTGTGCATTTTAGAGAAAGTTAAGGGATTTTCCAAGTTTTTGCATCTGTACGGGATTTGTGCAAATCCAATAAATGGTGAAAAATCATTTCCTTTTTGTAATTTTTTATTCTTCAGTAACTGGGGATCAGAGACTGATGACAGTGTCAAGTACCATAATGGAAATGCTGCACCCCAAGGATTTGGTAAGTTCCCCACTTATTTTTTTCTATTATTGCTTTACTACCCTTGCTGATCAAGTAAATTCTTGTACCAATTTATGTTTTGAGGATTATTTAAGATATTTATTGAACCATGTGTTATATGGGAAAATTATAACAATGTGTAAAATGTTTTTTTGTGTTGCATTTCATCTTTTAGGACTTCATCAGACTAAAGTGATGTTTATGTGGGTGTGAGATATTTAATAACAAAAGTGATGGAAAGGAAAAGAAACTAAATTAAATTGTTTACACTATATATATACAAAACATATTTTGAAATTAACAAGACTAAAAAAAAAAAATTATTTTAAAATTTTCAGTTTTCCCATTCCTTGATGCGCAAGTTTATAGTGTAAATTTCACTTAGTCCAATGAAGTTCTAAAGGACAAAACACATCGCACAAAAACTTTTCCACATTGTCACATACATATATATATATATGTATGTGACAATGTGGAAAAGCTTTTAGTGTAGTGTGTGATTTTTTTTTTTTTTTTTAATGTGTAAATATATTTTACAGTAACAATTACTGTCTAACCTTTTGATGTAACTACTATAATTCCTATTTGTTTATTAATATCCAATCAAGAAAAATACTTAAGTGCTTTAAAAAAGGCAATTTAGCAGAATAATTTCTACCCAAAATATATTTTCTACTTTTCATAGTTTTTTTTTAGTTTTTTTATCTTATTTGAAATGTACTAGGAAGAAATAAAAATTTGTTTTGCTTTTCTTTTCGGTTACTAAATATAAATATTGTCTAGGGCACCTCAAGGTGGTGTAATGGTTAGCAGGCTTATCTCGCTAGATCAAGTATACTGAGTAGCGAGTTCGATCCTCATTGGCTGCCCCATACTTTCGGCCTTGTGCTGCATCTAAGCTACACTTGGAAAATAAATATAAATATTGTCTATATCTATGTTAGTGACAATGGATCAAAGGGAAATAATGACTATAACAAATTTTTGATTGCCAACAAAGATTGTTGGTTTCAATCCATTATGGAATGACTGTAAAAGATTTCCCCTTCCCCAATTTATAGACAAAACACAGATGCATGCTAGAATTTTTTTTCTGGCCTATAAGAGAGGCTACTTCTCTGTTTCACCAGACTTGCCTCTGTTCTGAGTTGTCTTGAAGCCAGAACGCTGCAATCACTTGTCTGTATCACCTTTTGTGTGTTAACCCCATTCTTAGTTTGTGAACCTTATTGCTTTAGATTTGCCCCTTGCATATATTGTTTGCTCAATATTATTTTTTGTCCTGTTCTTCTCTTTTCTTTCTCTTGTTATTGTTTTGTTTTTTGTTTTTTTGTTTTTTTTTTTTTACAAATTTTGTCATTTTTGTTTGTTGTGCAGTTCTGCCAGTTACATTTAACCATGACCAATTATGCTATTGATAAAACCAATATTTTTTTTTTTTTCTGTTACTGGATGTTAAGTGTCCAGTAGTCACACACACAATGGCTTTGAATAACTTTACTCTCATAGATCAAATCACCAATGTAGTACTAATGACTTGTTCACCTGTCATAACCAGCTATGGTCCAAGTGTTGATCTCTTAGTGTTGTCAAGCACACAGCTGTACAGTAAGCACCAATGTAATTTGGTTCTTAGAATTGACCTATTTGATTAAAGGAAGCACTATACCAGATGTTTTATTATACATTGTAGACATTGACTAGAAGCTTATCACTGGTGATTTATTGACTGTATATTTGTATATATTTTAATATGTTAGCATTTTCTCCTCTTCAATTTAATAATTTTTATTACATGTCTTTCTTTTCAGAGCAGAATGCTTATCTTGGTTGCTTTGCTCACAATGTTTCACATGTTGTACTTTCTGTCCTGTAAATCACTTCTCACACTTTGTGACCTTCGTTCATTGCGACCTCTTGGCCCAGTACTGATTCCCAATTCATTTGTCTTCACTGAGCATTCTGCTTGAATTTTCAAAATATACAATGAGTCTCACATAACTCACAGACTTGATCACAAGCAAAATAAATTTCTGAATAGAATTCATTTAAAAGTTGCAAGATAAACTGATAGAAATTCATCAAGGTTTGAAGAAAACTAAATGAAAATTAACAAAAACAATAATTAGTCTTGTATCTGAGAATGATTTCAATCGATTCACTCGGTAAATTTTCAGAAGTTTATTAATGAGGACAGTATTCTGAATATAAATAGTGTAAATAATGCTGTATGTTTATCAATTAAACAAGGCTTTTGGCAGCACCAAATTTCCCAGTGGGCATTTAGCAAGCAGTGAGGCAAGATGTCTGTAGATGATATTGAGAAGGCGTTTTGTACAATTGAAACAAATTCTTTAACTACTGTGCAACAATATTATGGAACACTTTGAATTTTCATGATTGTTTTTATGATTTCAAATGAGGTTAGTTGTGTGATAGGGACATTTATATTTTTCCTATAAATTCATGAGCTTTTATTGAATTTCAGATTATTATCCTCTTTCTATTCTAAATATAATTTTGTCATTTGACATTTACTGTTCAGTATGGAAGAAGCTAATGTTTTTTATGCTTATATACTTGAAAATTATCTTTGTTGATGTAACATTATGATAAGACATTGATCTATGGTAACTATTTCCTGATTAACCTTGGCTATTGGAGTGGTCTGTGTTTTTTTTTTTTTTTTTTTTAAAAAATCTCTGATGCAAATTTTCTTTGGTAACAACCATGCTCTTTTTTTTTTTTTTTTTTTTACTTTGCAAACTTATAAATTATGCCTTTTCTTTACCTTAATCAGGCCATATTGGAATCTGTGTTCCTGACGTTGATGCTGCTTGCAAGAGATTTGAAGAACTTGGTGTTAGTTTTAAAAAGAAACCAAATGATGGTAAGGTTTATTTTACTTTATTTTTTTTTTTTTTTTTTTAAGTGCTTCTGGGATTTGTAAATTTTTCACTGTCAAATGATGATTACATTGATTAATATCTGGTACAAATTACTTACTTTTCATAGGTGGGGAATTTTTTTTTTTTTTAAGTTTTTAATTCCTGACACTTGCAGGACATATTGAAGATGACAAGAGAAAGCAGCACGTAACCTACCTAATCAGCTCGTGTAAATGGTTGGCAGAACAGGGATTTGGGGATATAGCAAAAAGACAAACTTCACTAAGAGCTACAAAGGACAGGAAGTTGTGAAGATCCATGATTGCCCAAGGCATGTAAAAGGATTCTTCTATGTGCCTTTGTCTTTACTGCTATTATCATTATTATCATGGTTAACATTTGTTGTCTTTTTTTTTTTTTAATATTCTTTTCATTATTACTAAATAAATATTTCATTTGTTCAGAAATTATTTTTTAAAAAGTTTGTCTCAAAAGACCTCATAGGGATTCCTTATTTTTTTTAATGGGAGCAAATATAATTGCTTTTGCTTCTTTTTTTCTCTTCTCCCTTCCCCTCTGTCACTCTCTCTCTCTCTCTCTCTCTCTCTCCCTTCCCCTCTGTCACTCTCTCTCTCTCTCCCTTCCCCTCTGTCACTCTCTCTCTCTCTCCCTTCCCCTCTGTCACTCTCTCTCTCTCCCTTCCCTCTGTCCTCTCTCTCTCTCTCCCCTTCCCCTCTGTCCTCTCTCTCTCTCTCCCTTCCCCTCTGTCCTCTCTCTCTCTCCCTTCCCCTCTCCTCTCTCTCTCTCCCTTCCCCTGTCCTCTCTCTCTCTCCTTCCCTCTGTCCTCTCTCTCTCTCTCCTTCCCTCTGTCCTCTCTCTCTCTCCTTCCCCACGGTCCTCTCTCTCTCTCCTTCCCCACGGTCCTCTCTCTCTCTCCCTTCCCCACGGTCCTCTCTCTCTCCCTTCCCCACGGTCCTCTCTCTCTCCCCTTCCCCCCTCTCTCTCCCCCTCTCCCCCACGGTCCTCTCTCTCCCTCTTCCCCACGGTCCTCTCTCTCCCTCTTCCCCACAGTCCTCTCTCTCTCTCCCTCTTCCCCACGGTCACTCTCTCTCTCCCCTCTTCCCCACGGTCCTCTCTCTCTCCTCTTCCCCACGGTCCTCTCTCTCTCCCTCTTCCCCACGGTCCTCTCTCTCTCCCTCTTCCCCACGGTCCTCTCTCTCTCTCCCTCTTCCCCCTCGGTCCTCTCTCTCTCCCCTCTTCCCCTTGGTCCTCTCTCTCTCCCTCTTCCCCACGGTCCTCTCTCTCTCCCTCTTCCCCACGGTCCTCTCTCTCTCCCTCTTCCCACGGTCCTCTCTCTCTCCCTCTTCCCCACGGTCCTCTCTCTCCCTCTTCCCCACGGTCCTCTCTCTCTCCCTCTTCCCCCACGGTCCTCTCTCTCCCCTCTTCCCCAGTCCTCTCTCTCCCTCTTCCCCACGGTCACTCTCTCTCTCCCTCTTCCCCACGGTCACTCTCTCTCTCCCTCTTCCCCACGGTCACTCTCTCTCTCCCTCTTCCCCACGGTCACTCTCTCTCTCCCTCTTCCCCACGGTCTTCTCTCCCCTCTTCCCCACGGTCCTCTCTCTCTCCCTCTTCCCACGGTCCTCTCTCTCCCCTCTTCCCCACGGTCACTCTCTCTCTCCCTCTTCCCCACGGTCACTCTCTCTCTCCCTCTTCCCCCACGGTCACTCTCTCTCCCTCTTCCCCACAGTCCTCTCTCTCCCCTCTTCCCCACGGTCACTCTCTCTCTCCCTCTTCCCCACGGTCACTCCCTCCCTCTCTTTCTCTTCTCTTATGTATATCACATATGGCACTTAACTGACTTATATTAAACTTTTTTTTTTTTTTTTCAATTCCTGTTAGATCAATTTATAACAAAGGAAGATGCCAAGGTATAGAAAAAAGCACTTACTCAAACAACAAAAAAATAAACCCCTCAATTTTGCCCTTCTCTGGAAATTCAGTAATTGTTGGTAATTTAATCAGATGTTTGGCATGATGGTTTGAGGTACAGAGAATAGAATTAGCAGGATGTGATCAAGTTACAGGCAATGCTGTTGCATTCACTTTGCACTAATACCCTTGGGATAAGCATGAATCCATCTTTACTCCTTCAAGTTATAGGTAAATAGTAGGGCAAACTAGGCTCTCAAACTTTGCTAGAACAATCAGTCGAGGATAACTCCAATTTCAAAACTGCAGAAGGCAATGTGAACAGCAGGAAACAGCTCCAAGAATAGTCATGATATTTCAGATATATTAAAGAAATGGAAGCTGTGGAGAGTTATGATCACCTTTGTCTTCAGAGGACATGGAATTAAAAAGAAGAAAAAAATTAGTTCATCAAAAAGTTTGTTACTTAAACTGAATATATTGGGTTCAGTGATGTGTAATTTCTATCTCTGGAAACCGACTTTAATATTTTTTTTAGAGTTTCAGTTGGATGATTTCCCATATAAGCATTTCCTGCCCAAATAATTTATTGATTTATGGGAAGTGGGGCAGTTCTTATATGGGTACCTCCAAAAAAAGGAATATCTAAAGTTTAAAATGTATTTTAAAAATAAAAAAAATTCTTGAAACTTTTAAGTTTTAAATCCAAGCTAATGGATTAAATTTAATATTCCCATCAAGCAAAATACTTTGCATTTCAAACCAAATTTAAATTAATTGGAATTAATTTTTTTTTGTTTTGTCTGATTATCAATAAAGTCATCCATATTGACAAATGTATGATATAATTGTCTTTATTAAAAAAATCTTTCACAAATGTTATTTGAGAAAAAAAATAGCTGCTATAAAGCTGAATTGAAACTGATATTAACTGCTTTTAATTTAAATTATTGCTGAAATGCATTTTTGAATACGGAGGTGGGTGTTTTTATAATGTATTGACAGTTTAACAGTCTGATGATTGGCTAATTTATGTAAGGGGGAGATAATTGTAATAAAATTATGTGATATGGCAAAGGTCTTTTATTTATATGCTTTGTTTTTTTTTTTTTAACTACCCAGAAATACTAAAAATTTAGAAATAATGAATTTTATGTACTTTGGCTTTAAAGTCTTACTAATGAAGATGCTTGTTGAAGAGAAGTTAGAAAATTATAAATAAATTTTAGATTTACTATAGTTACAGCTCTTATTTTCTGATAATGTCGTGGAGGCATGTCAAACTGAGGTTCCCCTGAGGGCTATATGGTCACATATGTATTGTTATAAGGGACACATGACAATGAATTGTGCAAATTACAACTGATCGGAGTCATTTAATAAAATTTATTGCAGAATATTTTTGTTTCTTAAATTTAGAAACAAACTGTGCATACAAATGTTTCAGCAGGATTCATGTATACAAAGAAATGAAGTAGTTTGATAAAAGAAATAAAATATTAAACAACATATACTTGCAGTTTGCAACAGTAACAAATACATTGTACAAAAATTACAACAGTTCCAAATTGAACATTTATTTGCCACTATTCAGTCAGTTTTAGTTCATATGTTCTTAGGCTTGACACTTTTTTGCTGACAATTTTTGGTATGTCCTGCTAAAATGTTTGCGCAGTTCCAACTTTGATCAGAGATGACAAATATTGATCAGCTAGACTTGTTCTCTGAGAAGATTTTGTTGATTTCATGAAGGAAAATAATGGTTTGTGCACATAGGTAGATGCAAGCATTGCCGTTATGTTTGTGGCAAACTTTCTGAAGTTTTTAAACTTTTCATGAAGGTATGAAAAGAACCTAGGTATTCCTACTTCAAGATACTTGGCTCTGAGTGTAGAATCCAACTGCATTTCTAATAGTTCCATCTGCAAACTTTCTTTTGTTCTTGGCAACATCAAAGGTCAATGGTGCTGAGAATAATGCAAACTGATGTTCTAAAGGTGAGAAATCACTTAATCTTTTCTGAAATTCCTTTGACAACAATTCCAGGTGACTGTCATAATTAACAAATCTAAGTACAGTCTTGGTGTTGGCAGTGTTTTTCAGCTTTTTGTTAGCCTTCAAATTCTTGAGTTTGGAAACATGCATTTGGCCTTCATATTTATTGTAAGATAGATGGTTCATTTCGCAATGTCTTTTTAGGTTGTACACTTTTGACATGGCGATGGAGTTGTAAATTAAACAATGTATCTTTTCATTCACCATTGTGCAAAAATACTGTAATTCCTGCTTTTCTTGAAACACTCACCCTTTTCTTTTTCTCTTATATGAAGGAGCACTAGCCATTTTAGGGTTGTTTCACAATTTATGACATGGAATCTGAAAAATTACTGGTACATTTAAACTACAGCTAACAGTAAAAAGAGAAAGCAATTTTGATAACTCCTCTAAAACATTTTTTGGCTGACATTTCACCTTTAAAAGCAAAACTTTTGAAAGAAAGTTTTCTGTTTACAACAGTTAATGAGCTGCCATTTTGTTTTCATGGTGTGATGGCTGGTGGCATGGCTGCTAGAGAGAATTTGTTCCAGTGCTATTTTCTCAGCCATTAAGAATATTGAATATTTGTTACAATTTTAAAAATAATAGCTTAGTACCATACTAAGTTAAAGTTTATCAATAACATTTATTGATCTATTAAAATAACTGAAAATGTAAAAAAAACATGATTTATTTTTTTAAATACTGTAATTTCTAGCTTGTAAAGAGCCACATGCAGTGCAAACCTACATGTTTGACATGTCTGATGTAGTGTGGGGATGTCTATACTTGCCAAAATTGTGCATATGTATATACACACAAAATTAATTTAAAATTCTTTTTAAAACACTGTGTGTTGGTGAATTGCAGTAAGCTTTTTTGGCTATGATTACTAAATACAGTTTTTATTTAATCACTATCGTTTGACCACTACAAATGAATACAGAATTTTAAAAGTTTACAAATTATTCTAATTAAAAAAAGATCAAAACAATTCTTGTAAAAATTCACTATTCATTGAAAAAAAAAAATTTTTTTTTTTTTTTTTTTTGTAAGACAATAGTGTTCATAATATATTTTCATAAAAGCAATTAAAAACATTTATAATTAGTGTGTTAGTTTTATTGCATTTTTTATTTCACAATTCAGAGCATATTTTCTATAACTGGAGATCCTGCTTGACCAAAAAAAATTAATGATTTAAATTCTCTGATAAGTAACTAATATAAAGATTTAGCTCTATAAGAAAGAATTTCTCAAAATTTCATAAATTGAGTGGTCAGGTGAGTAACAGGTGTTAAGAAAATAAAAAATAAGTTTTACCAAGATTTACTAAGAAAAAGAAATGTTTCTGAAATAATTCCATACTTTTCTTAATAAGTCCTAAAAGTTTAAAGTCCAACTATTATCTGATTTTTGCAAGAATTTCAAAATCAATGCATTTTTCACCACAAAAAGATGCTCAAATTTCCCATACAAACTTCTGATCTCGCATTAATTCCAGAAAAACAGATTAACAAAAATTTCAATGTTTGTAAAAAGAATTTAAAAAATAAAAAAATTTTTTTGTTTCTTTTACATAAAAAATCCTTTGATCTTTCCTCTTAATAATAAAGATTTTGACAAGAAAATTTTTGTTTTTAAATTTTGGCCCTTTTTTTTATCCAATATGTTCACTTTTAACAAATCTTTGAAGTCACACACACACACACACACACACACACACATATATATTTTATTATTATTCTAAGAGATTTTAATAAAAACATGTTGAAATCATTACACAAAAGCAATAGTATGTTGCAATTCTTCAGGCGATGGTAAGTAACTGGTGATTAAATGAGATATATATATATATATATATATATAAAACCCCTTAATTTCTCTTCTATTTCATCATTTACAGGTAAAATGAAAGGAATTGCTTTTATTATGGACCCCGATGGCTACTGGATTGAAATCTTTTCCACAAAAGTGATTGAATCCCTTGACATGAACAATTTGTAACAGGAAAATATGATTTTTGTTTTTTCCTTTTCATGAAGAGGAAAAGTAAAGAAGCATTTTATTTCTGAAATCCCAACTCTGCCACTCACTTACCTAAAACATTTCTCTGAAATTTTGTGAAAATAAATTTGCCAGAGAGAGAAACCTGGTTCTTTTTAAGGTAAAAAAATAGACTTTTTTTGGGGGGGGTTGTGTGCATTGGAAGTAATTTCCAAATAAAATTCCCAAAGCCTTTTTTAAAAATTCAAATTTATAAGGCAAGCTAAATTTTCTCTTTATATTCTCACATTTACCTTTTGTGAATATCAACAAAGTCACAAGGAAAAATTAATATACTATGAAAACAAAAGGCCACTTATTAAATCAAGTGCTTTTAGTAGTGTGTACGACCCACTTTAATGTGAAAAGTTAATGAAATTGAAACTTAGGGCCCTACTAGCTGAAAGAGGCTCTCTAATTGTAGGTGAAGAGTATCTTTTTCTGTTAGGAAATGCCCAGAAGGAGTTTCTCTTGCTTTTCATATACAGCTTCATGATGTCTAAAACTTGCATTCTTTGCATAAACAGCAATGTATTTGAACAGGCAGAAAATATTTGGCTTTTATAATCAAAGTTTTTCCAATAGAATGAAAATGCTAATAACATGATATTTGGAGCGTTTTATAAATGAACGCTTACAAAACTGCATGATTTTTCTCTCCTTTTTATAAAAGGATAGTTTCAAATAGATTATATATGCTTAAGAAAATAATAATTGTGCACACTTAATTTGACTTCATGGAAATCTTAGGTGATGAGACAAAGAGAAAAATATAAATTGTTTTGGACTCCAAACGTATTATTTTCATTCAGCTGATGCCAGTGTCTTTCTGTAATATGAAA